CCTCCAGTGAGGATCGCAGGACTCTCACCTGCCTTTTGAGTTCTCGGCACAAGTTCTCGATTGCGCCATTCGCCCGGTGGTCAGCCACCGGCGACTCCTGTGGAACATTCTCCACTCCTGCTTCCTTGGCCGCCTGCTCCTTCAGGGCAACGATCGAATGCTCACCATCACTCTTGAAGACTGCACGACGGTAACCAAGATGCTTTATAAAGTTCGCCATGAATTTGACCGCATATGGCGTCGGTCCTTTTGCGTCCACGAAGGTGGCCGCAACGGCCAGTGTCCGACTGTCTCGGATCACCAGGATAGGCTTAGTCTTCCCATCCTCCTTTCCATCTCGCGTCATCCATGTGTAGTCGCACGAGATTGTCGCGAGCTCATCGCTCGCCTTGTCCTCTTCGGGTCGTGAGCGATGCTGCTGACCCAATCCTCTGCCGGCAAGACAATGCCGACACCAGTTGCGATACTGCACGTGACCTGTTGCCTCATGCTCCGCAACCTCGGCCCTCGATGGGCCTCCTGGTGCTCTCACCAGTGCGGGCGGCGCGATCTCGCCGCTCTCATCCATCTCATCACCCTCGGGCACACCTGCGGGTCGGCCCGCTGGTGCCTCTGGGTTCCCTTGTCCGGCACCCACGGCATCATCTGCCGCTGCAAGTGGTTTGGCCGGACTTACGCCTCGCTGGACTGCCGTCCAAAACCCGAACAATCTTCCGACTTCAAATAGAAGTTGTAAACTCCTTTCTCTTGGTATATGGGCAACCAAGTATTCTTTTGGGCTTTACTGGGCTTGTTGAGCAACTGCTGAATTTTCCTTCCTGTCGCTGAGTCTACTGGAATCAACTGTCCACCATCTTGATCAAGAACAGCCATCCTTCCATGTTTGAGGCATTTGTAAGCTGAAACCAACGGTTTGTGTACCGGTGCTAATGGCCCTGTGACTTTACACCTGGAACCTGTTTCACTCTTACCTTGAAACGTCCCGGTTCCGGTCCCAGGGACCAGTTCCCCCGATGCTGTCTTGAACATCATCTGGGCTCCTTCCTTAGTGGGGATGCGGTCTTTCCAATCCACTGGAATAGCAGTTTGAGCAGCCCCCGTATCAAGGTTGAACCGAACCCAGTTTGGGTCTTTCGGGGACTCTCCCTGGGTGAATGCACCCAGCTCAAACATTCCCACTTCGGCCTCCGGTTGTTCTTCTTGGTCTCCAGCTTCGTAGTCGGCGTCCTCGAATCCTGCCACATGCTTCTGCTTGGAGCCAGACTTCCCTGAGCCTTTGGAACCTTTTCCATCCTTCTTCTTGCTCCAACACTCGGCCGCTCTATGGCCGGGCTTACCACAGTTGAAGCATGCTCCTGCGGGTCCTGAGCTGCCTGAACCACTGCCTTTACCTTTTCCTTTGCTGTCCTTACCTTTTCCTTTGCCTTTGCCTCCACCTTTGTCCTTTCCCTTACCTTTGCCTCCTTTCGAACCTTTCGAGCCTTTGACCAGCGAGTTGAGCACCTTCGTGATGGCGTCCACGTCCATCGGAGCGGGGCCTTGCCCCGATCTCGAAGCCCCACTGGACCCCGGTCGATGGATCGTCCCCTTGGCTCCCGTGACTGTTTCAATCAGAACCTCAATCTCCTGTTTCATTTCCTCGTAGGTTCCCAGCCGGTTCTTGTTCAGAATGAGGTGGCGCTCAATGTCGGTTGGAACCAGAAGTTCTAGGGACGTACACTTTATGTCCTGAGAGAGGATTTCCCTCTCGCCCCTTTCGTTCCTTCTGGCCTCATATCGGCGCATCAAATCATCTAGTTGTTCCATGGCCGGTCGAACTGCTTCCCAAGACTTAACTCTTTCGGGGTTGAGGATGGCCCTTAGGATGTTCCTCTTCCTACCTGCGGTGAGGGGGTCCCATCTCCTGTTAAGCCTTCGCCATGCCTCATACCCGTTCTTGGCATTGATGACCAGATCTTCGGACTCATGAGTAGTAAGGGATGACAACAACCTATACAGCTGGTCTCCCTTATCATCCAGTCCGGCCATTCCCAGTTCACCTCCATGTTCCTCTTCTACCTTTTCAACAGTGATCTCCTCATCCTGATCAACTACCCATTCAAGGATTGACTGGAAACTGGATCCAAAGATTGCCGTTGTGAGGTTCACCACAGACCGGGCCCATCTACGGAAGTGGCCGTCATCATTGGAGAAGACTTCCGGTTTTCCAATCCCTTTGGTGTCTATCAACAACTTCCTATCGCCTTTCTGCAGGCTTGTAGCTAACCTACCAAGGTTCTCTGCCAAAGCAGCTATACCTGCCTGGCCTTGCCTAAGAAGTTGATTCTCCTGTGACAACCGCTCAACTGCCTGCTGCAACTCTCGCACTGTTTCCTCCATGCCTTATATCCGGTGCCAAGCACCGGGAGGTCAGTCCGCCTTCCCGGACTCTTCTGTACTATAGTACGACCCCGAGCTCGATCCGCTTTTCGGCTCCGGCGCCGGTTGATCGTGAAGGTGAACACTGCCCTCGGTCTCGCTCAGGGGTGTAGCCGGCGACGGAGTCGGTGGCGGAGGTGGCGGCCGCTTCGGCCGAGCCAGCGAAACCTTCGGCTCGCTCTTGGGCTTCTCGATGTGGGCCTTCTCCTTGAGCACCCACTTCGGTCTTGGCGATGGAGGTGGTACCTTCGCCTCTATAGCCGCTTTTGCAGGAGGTGGCTTCACCTGAGGCTTCGCGATAGCTTCCGGTACTGACTTTGAGGTCGTTCCTACCGGTGCGCGCCTCCTTGTCGCCCCTTTTGCAATTGCTGCGGCCCTGGCCAACAATGATGGCCTCTGAAGGCGAGTCCTCTCGTCGCACGAGGAACACGGGTTCCCTAACCCGTCCAGTTGCAGCACACTCTGCTGGATGGCTTTGGCCACCGAGCCCGTTGCTCCGGCTCGGTATGCAGCTTCTGCCGATGCCGCCTTCCTGAGGCGGTAGTTCGAGGCCAGGTTCTGCTCGCTCGTCCCTTCACCGCGGGATGTCCTTGCCACCGCAAGCTCTTGTATGTTCCTGTGCACCGTAACCCGTCGGCCGAGAGCTTTGGCTGCCTCGGCGACCGGTGCCAGCAGCTCGGGCTCAGCGCCCGGTGAAGGCTCCTTTCCTTGGGCCTTTGTGAATCCCTTCGGCGGTGTCTTCGGAGCAGGGCTGGACTTAGGCGGGGACTTCGGTGGTGTCTTGGGCTGCACCCGGCGCCTCTTCCAGGGCGCCTGCCCGAAGTTCTCGATCTCCTCCTGGAGCTCCGCGGATGGCTCTTCCTGCTTCTTCTGCGCGAGCTTCAGGAGGCCTTTGAGGATCCTAAAGTGCCGACTGTTTTGGCTTCTCCTCTTGTCTTTGCCAGTCGCACTCTGCCACCACCGAGATCCTGACGACCTAGGCGTGTGAGCGACCTTGGGCTCGGGCTGGATCCTGCCCTCGCTGCCCCAATCGCCCCACACGCTCTCGTCCTCGCTCTGGCCCTTCTGCTCCAGGTCGAAGTCCGTGGCCTCGGGCTCAAACTGCTTCTTCTGCGGCGGGTGGAGGTCCTCCTTCTTGTCCTCGTTGGTGTATTGTTCCAGCTCCTCCTCCTTCTCCTCTGCCCGGCTTCCTCGAGCCGGTTCTGGGCCCCTGTGGCCACTTGGCAGAGCCTCTGGCTCTGAGGAGGGAGGAGATGCAGCCTGGGATCCTCCCCAGTCTGCTTCTGACTCAGCGGCAGGCTCAGCGGACAGGGTGTCTTCTTCTCCTTCACTCGGAGGGGCAACTAGCTCCGGCCTCTCCTTCGGCAGCTCTTCCGCTGCCCCGGTCTCCTCGACCGGCTCTGCGGCTTTGCCTTTGCCGCGAGCGGGCCGCCTCCACGGCGGCTCCTCCTTGTTGCTCTTGCCCCTGCCCTTCTTGCCCTTGCTCTTGCCCTTCTTGCCCTTGTTCTTGCCCTTCTTGCCCTTGTTCTTGCCCTTGGGCCCCTCGTACGGCTTTCCAAACCAAATGGACCGTCGAGGCTCACCCGCTACCATCAAAATGCAATATCTCGGCTCTGGGGTGCACTGCGGAGCGCACCCTTTTCTTGAGCCAAAACCACACGGAGTGCAATCAGCGCATTGGGCAATTATGACTATACATATCATGATGTCTTTCAAGGTGCTAAAAAGTTAAACATTGGCAGCCTTCTAGATATCTCCTTTACACACCACCACCCTAAATTGGTGCCACCAACCATCGGAAACAAACAGGTGTGGTCTTCCTCAGCGTATCTTCAGAATTGCATGAATCAGTGAGCGGCCTATTCAATTCTGGCCGGTGCTTGGGCATCTCCAATTTTTACCTCGCTGGTTGGTTTGGTTTGGTTTGGAACAATTGCTATCCACTGACTGCTCATTTAATTTGCTGCTCCGAAAAAGAGAGGTGTCCTCTTTTATTTCCGCCTCCGCAACAAAAAACAGAGCCGGGTGTAAAACAGGGACTCCCATTCCCTCTTGGCTTTTGGACATTTCAAAGGCTGATCCCAAGATTCAATTGGCACCTGTGCAGACACTTGTGTGTGCATTTTGTTTGAGTTGGTGCTCGTTTCACCTTAAAACTGGAAGCCAAAATGACCGAACATCTTGGGGCTTCCCCTATTTAAGAACCCATTTAATCCCTGGTAAAGGAACATCTGAGGAAAAACCTATATTCTACTTTTGGATTGATCATACTGTGGATGCACGAAACTCTGCACGAGTTGGGATGGATGAAACATGACTGGGATAAATCGCCTAGCAGCTGGTGCTCTGAGTTGATTTTGTGAACTCATCTACCACCTGTTAAACGGCGCACTTTGAGAAGGCCATCGTCTGTAGACCCACCAGGCTCGGGGTGTGTCAAAAGCCTTTGAGCATATCGAACTTGGAGCTTCATTGCCAACAAAGCTGGGTGCTTTTTGGGGAATTTAAAGATGATCCATCCAATCATGGGTGGCTATTTGGCAACCAAAAATGGAAAAAGGGACGCAAAGCAGCCGGGGTTCTTGGTCGCTCATGGTGGTCACATAACGCTGGAGCTTGCGGTGAACGTGCTGCTGAATGTAGGCCTCCCGGTCTTCCAACCTGGGGCCGCTAGGTCCAGTAGAGAGGCTAGAATAAGGGTGCCCGACTTTGTTTTCTGTAGTCTATTTTAGTAGGGGAACCCTCCCCTAAAAAGAAACGGTAAAAGGGCACCCTGGGGGACCTAGTCTGTGAATGCGTGGATAAAATGGAAAGACCCCGAACTGTGCGTATATGGGGACAAATGAGCCATGGTAAAAAGGGAAATGGACAATTCAATAAGCGGAGAATCTGTGGAACAAGAAAAACATGTTCATTGAAACAAGGCTCCGAAATCTGCGGGAAGTGGGTGGAACGGTTTCGGCCACAAGGCACCACAATGGCAAACCTATACCCTGCCCACACTGAAAGGACGAGGCAAAAAAAAGAAACGTTTGAATTTGGCAACCTCGACCGAATATATTGGGAGCCTGTGAGACAAAAGGTCAAAAGGTTGGCCTTGCGCAAGTGGGGGAAAGAAAGGGACTGCACAGCTCTGGCGCTCTCGAGCGTTCCACTTTGCAGCCACGTCACGGAAAGCCAGCTGTCATATCTTCCTCGGTGAATCGCATTCTCTAGTGGCTGGTTCCCTCCGATGTTTCCCTCAGCATGGCATGAGGCGAACAGATTCGCCCGAACTTGGCCCGTTTTACCGCTTCATGCATGTCTTGTGTCACATCTAAGGATGGGACAGTTTGCAACAGTGCTCCGCCTTTTCAGAAACTACTTGGTGTGCGGCTTGTAGATGGCCGTGGTGTTTTCAACCAACGACACGATCCCGGCCCTCCGCCAACGCTCCGCGCCTGCCTGTGTTTTAACCGCAAGCTGCGCGAAGGTGTTTGAAAGAGCTTGACCGAGGGGTTGGAAAAAACTACTATAATAATTCAGGATTCAGTCACCCAAAAATAGGCCAGAAGATGTTTGTGTTGTTGAATTGTCACCCTTGGCCTGCTTCCTGGAATTGTCACCCTTGGCGCGCCCATTGACAAAATCGCAGGACCTGCGCGTTGGACTGCGGCAAGCGCTTGCACATGCGCACAGAAAGCTTTCGGCATTGGGTTGCCAGCTTTGTGAATCTTGATCTTCAGGGACAAAGCGTTTGCACTAAAGAACTTTCCTCCTGGATGGTGTCCTGGTAATCTCGGATGTGACAACAGCTTGACCCCGAGGAATGGCATTGACGTGGAGGGGTTCGAGAACCTGCCGCTTGATCTGTGCAGCTAGAAAGAAACAGGCATGCCGTGACACTGTCAACACCGCCGCTATCACTTGCCCCCCCCAAAAAAAAAAACAAGCGAACCTCCCCCCTCTCCCCCGGAACACCGTCCAACTCATGCCGACGTCCGCTGCAAGAGCAAAAAACGATAAAAATAGGTGTTCGTTACACGGCCATCTACGAGCCGCGTTCCAACTACTTTCCCCTCAACGAGTATGAGCGATGCACTAAGTGTCGCAAGTCGCAACCCTGGGAGGTGGGCGATAACATTGGGCTGTCCTCAGATGTCAGCGGGTAAAATGGAAAACAAAGCAACTAAGCCAACTAAAAGCAAGCAAAAACCAAAGGAACCGGATATCTGAAACCACCAAGATAATACCATCACTTGGAAGGACAAGGTTCATGGGGGGCTATCCAATAATACTTTTCCTGAATCGCGACAGCGGGGCCAATGACTTCGTATTCTGCGCTCGGGGTCTCGACAACACGTCTGCAGCCTCCGCTTTCACAACCCTTGGCCGAGTCGCGGCGTCCGCCTGCCGCGGAGCATTTCCTGAGAGCCGCGAGTGGTCTTTCAAAACCAGCGCCCGCTTCTCCCTTCGAGGATTGAATTTAACGTGGTTATAGAAGGGATTTACTGGGCTGTCCTCAGATCCCCCGCTGGAAGTTTAACCTTTGGGTTAAATGGAAACCCATCCACTTAAACAGTAAAAACCTAAAGGGCTAGCGGGATGGCTGGGAGCCACCAAGTTTATATAATAGGTTTTACTATAGCCCCAACTAAGCCAGATGGAACCACCTAGCCACATTTGTCGATGGGAGGTGCTGCCTTGAACCTGATCACTGTTGCTGTCCATGGAATCATCTCCCAAACCTCTTGGCCTAGATCAAATCAAGCAATCCGACCCTTCTGATGACGCCCCCCCAAAGAAAATATGTGTTCAGACACTAAAGCCATTCTTCTGGTTATCCCTCCCCCCAAATAAAAATGTGCTTGCTCAAAACAAGCGAATTTACTTATTTGTGTGCCCTCCCCATTTCCGTCCCCTAATAACAACAACTTACTTTGGGGAAACCAGTTTTAGGGGAAAACCTGTTTATCAGGAGGACGTGGCCAGTTTGCCTGTCTTTGAGCTTGGCATGGGCGGGTCACTCGCCTTGGCATGCCTCGCTTCGGGCAATGTCACGCGAGATTCCGTGTGGCTGTTTTTGGAAATATAATGTCGACGCATAATAAAACAACCCCTATCTACTACGAGTAGTATGGGGGTGCCCCTGGTTTTCGTGCGGAGTCAGACCACTTCAAGGGACCACCCCTATTAATTTGCTAGGTAATTTATCCAGGCTCAACCTGACTCTTTGTCCCACAACCATGAAAGGTGACAGAAAGTGCTTTGAAGACCGCTCTCTTTTGAAAGGCCTCAAAGTCTTCCATCTTCGGAAGGGAATTTGAACGTTGTCTACCCAAATACAATCAAAGACACCAATCCAGGAAGGCCAGGTATGCTTCCTCTACGGTTCTGACGATCTTCTCTGGTCACCCACTGGAAGCACCGGGTTTCCCATGAGGTGGCAAAATCAATTTCTGCCGAGCCGCGCGAGCCGAGCTGCTTGCCTTGGTGTGAGGCTTGCCCTTTCCCCCCAGTGTCTTGGCTCGACAAGCAGGGAATGAGAGAAGGAGTGACCAGTGACCCAGAGAAAAACCCATCCCCGATTTGGCGTTGAAGAGAACCCCCGGGTCTCGGGCATTCCCAACACCTGGTCTCGGTCCAGCATCCAGGTTTTCGCCTTGGACCCTCTCGAAGTGCCCAAGTGGCCCCGAAACCTCCTGGACCCTCCCCGGCAGCTCCAAACCACTCCTGAGCTCTGTGATGAGCTCGGGAAAAAGTGCAGGACACCCCAAAAAAAATGTGTGGTCTTCCTTTTGGTGTCCCTTTAAAACCACAGCAACCCACTCAACAAAAAAACAAGCCCACGCGAAGACCCTTCCGGAGTCAACAGCCTCTGAGCCTCCCACTGGGGTGGTGTGTGGGTTCATGCACAGCCATTGACGTACGTACTCTGGATGGACAAATCCCTTTCGCACCACTTTGAAACCATGAAAAACCATGGTTTGTTGACATCTACAGGGGGATTCATCATGCCAGGGTTTTAGGTGGTGCGGAATGGATTTCGCAACCATCCAAACCATCCACGGCAGGGAGCGCCGAAGGAGCCTGACCTTTCTGTGCCTGACTTCCCTGTGAAGGCATTCATGACTCCTCTACCCTAAACAAATGTGCTGAATTCGGGTTCATATCTGCCATGTGCTTACGAGACTCCCATGGGTGGCTGCCAAAGTTTCCCTCGTACCAAACAATCTTTATACCCCCAGCTCCGGAACGGCTCCCTTCCAGCCACCAGCTAGGTATTTCGTGAACCGTGCAGAACGCGAAAGATGCCACGCCAACCCACATGGCTATGGCTCAAAAAATATCACCACCAGGAAACTTACCGCAGGTTTGAGTCCATTTTTCTACATTCACCAGGGCAACCCATTTTGGGCTTACTATTTTTGACCCACAGCCACCGTTCCATTTGGCTCAGCTGCGCTCAAGCTCTTGTTGTGGTCCTGGCTTGCCTGAGGCTCGGTCGCTGATCTCCGGTTGGGCAAATCTCAAGTGGATGACTCGTTGTTTTTGGAGGCTTGGTGCCCTTTTTAAGCTTGGTGTAAAGGGAAGCCAAAGCAAAAGCTGAGCCATTTTGTGGGACCCCAACAAAACACACCCAAGTGTGTTTCAACAATAGAGGCATTCGCTCCAAGTCAGGCTTCCATTTCTGCATTACCCCAAGATAGGCCAAGGGACTGTCTCCAAAAGGTCTGGTTGCTGCAATAGTTGTCTCAAGAAGTTTGCTTCAACAATAGTTGGGTATCATTTTTAATTGGGGACCCCTTGGTGGGTTCCTTTACATAGAAATCGCTGTCGACCAACCACTTTTTGAGGGGTTCCCGATTAAACAATTCATTGCCAGTTGGTGAGGCATGTAGAAATCATTCTTTGAACGGCCTTTGGGTTTCCCTTGAAAGGGGCCCTACAGATCTGCTCCTTCAGCCCCAGATATCTTCGGGAGACCTCGGCTTGAGCTTGCAGGGCACCTGCCGGTTTCACGTGTCGACTCCCTCTTTTTGGAACCCTTCAGGTTGATTACTGCAACAACATTCGCCCTGCCCGTTTCGAACATTTCCTGTAAAACGGGTGGTGCGCTCATGTCTACAGGCGTTCAACACCGCAAACCTCGATGAAACAACTCTGACTCAGTTCTTGGATGGGTGAGCCGGCGCGAAACACTTTATGAGAGTGCAACAGAACCCTCTTGTTGCTTTGCAACCAGGCTAGTGAGCTGCTGTCTTTTCGCGGCATCCTCCAGTGACTGGCAGAAGGCCAGAAAGCCCCCGCTGGAAATGTAGCTTGCCCTTGCCCAATTACGCAGGTGTGCTTTTGCCCTTGGCACCTAACAAACCCCGGCTACAGAAGGAAACCAGAAAGAGCAATGAAACCGAGAGGTACAACAATGCTGTTTACCTACTTCAGTGGTCTCTGGGTGCCAAATCAAAGACGCAGCCCCTTGTGGTTTACGTTTTTGTAAATTAACCATGCGCTCTTGATTGCACCCAATCTTGGCCCAAACCTGCTGCACTCCGAAGAGGGGAAAAAAAGCGTCTGTTCTGACTGACCCTCCATAGTTAGCCTCCACATCGTTTACCCGAACATCAACAACGCATGGGGCTGTCTCCAAATTAGGGATCCCCCACATGTCGGTTTGACTTACACCCCCACCAAAAAGGGGTTCCCCTAAAACACTGACACACACACACACACACACACCTCTACCCCAAAGTGAAGAAAACATTTTGGGAGGCACCCGGGTCACCAGGGCGCTGCACCCAGGGAGGGAACCCACACGCGCCCCGAGGTTTTCGGGGCTGAGCTGAGGAGCCGAGGTGGATGAACTGCTCCTTGAAGCTCAAGGCCCCCAGCGCCATGAGGTCCTGCCACTTCTGCTTCTTTTTTCCCGAATGGAAGTGCCCGCCGAAGGAGAAACACCAAGGAGAGCCAAATAAGAAGCCCTCCCCCAACCCCCACCCAAAGGAAAAACGAAAGGAAAAACCACGGGGAAAACCCGGGAAAGCCGCAAAACACCCAAGCAACCTCAACCAACAAGAGAGGGAAAGCCAAATAAAAACCCAGGGACACCCAACCAACAACCAGTTTCGCTGGTTCATGTTTTTGGGAAAACGTGGGAAAACCAAAGGAACACTGAGCCTACCCAAAAGATGGGTTGGTCGAGTGAAAGGGGGACACCTCTCAAAGACGCCTGCTGGTTGCTTGAAGTCAAAGGAAGGTTGTCAAGTTATGTTGTTCGGTTGGTTGATTCCAAGGAAACCTCGCAAACAACGGTAGACGGGGGGGGTTTGCCCGGAAACCACCGGCCCCCCTCCCTGCTCTGACTCCGTAGTTGCCCACCATGATTTGACTGGGGGGGGGGGGCTGGGGGGGGGGGGCATGATTACGTCGGAGCGCGAGATGCTTCGTTCAAGATCTAGATCTCAGAACCGAACCCCCTCGCCTGATGCCGCTTCCGTGACTTCATCTAGGTTGTCACTTCAGCTGCATTCGCCCATTAGCATTGCCGACTCGTGTCTTGACCAAGGGAAGTAACTCTTGTCTTTTTCTTGTGGCAAACAAATCGTTAGGCATTGGCTGTTACCTTTTTCGGCTTTTCTGCAAGGCCCGCTGCACAAGCTCGCCCCCCAGCCGGCTCCACTGGCGACGCCCCACGGACTCTGATCTGCTTTCTGAGGTCCCCAGCACTTTGCAGGGCCTTCAGTCGCTGCCAGCATTGCTCGAGAGCTGAAAGTGGAAGACTCTCGGCGGAACTTGCAACATTTTGCTTTAGCAGTTTATTTGCTGAAGACTTCAAGCATTCTTTGGAGTCGCCGGCGCGTCAGGACTTGCCCGTGCGCTGGGGCATGTTGCCTCTTCATCAACGCTTCTATCCATTCTTGCACATACCTGCCCTGTGGGTGTCTCCCGAAGACGAGCGGGCATTTTGCCACAAGGTCATAGGTCAAGCTGGGCTTCAGTGTCAGGCGTGGACTATGCTTGGGATCCGCAGGCGGTGTCATGAAGCTCTGTGCACGCTGGCGCTTCAGGAAGCCAAGTTTCTGTGCTTGCCGCTCAGTTTTTCCACGCGACACCAGGTCTGCAGCCACTGGTTCAGGCATTCAGAGAATACCTGAACCACATCACTGACCGTATCAACCCCCAAGATGCTTTCAAAGACACGTCTTGGTTGGTTTTTAGACCTCAAGCAGAAACGTGAAAATCCGCAATCCTGCGCGCCTGCCAGCCGCGCGTACTCTTACCTACATGTCGGAGTACGCGGATTTCAGGAAAAGCGTATGGCTTGTGAACCCAAGGGAAGCTAGATTGCATGGTAGAAACCAATGCAAAACAATGTCGTCCTTTTTCACTATCTTCCTTTGACGTTGCGGGTCCGGGCAAACCCCACCCGTCTACCCAACATGTTGTTTGCTCATTGCAAAGGGACAGCTGGCATAAAACAACGTGTGTTAGTGGTTGCCTGATTTCAAGCTGGTCCGACCAAAGCCTGTTTGGGTGGATTGACATCAAAGGCAAACCCACAAACCTACCACTGACCTGTTTTGATTCGGGTTTGACTTCGAAGAAACAACTGCTAAAGCCTTTGTTGTTTGGTTGAATTCAAATAAACCCCACCAACCTCCTGTTCCAAAGCCTTCTTGGTTGATTTCGACCGGACATCTTCCAAAACCCAAGGCTTGCTGCTTGATTCCAAGGGAACATCTACCAAGCGCCTTGACTGAGACACACCGACCAAGGCCATTTGCCGGGATTCCAAAGCCTCGGCTCGGTCGGCTCAGTTAGGACGAAACGCTGACAGATCTGCTTCTCCGGACCCTGATCGAGTTGCTCCTTTCTACCACCATGAAACCCAAAACGGTTGTAACCTTAAAAAGGAGCAACCCAGATGCACCAATTTGCTGGTACCCAAAAGGAGGAACATGTACCGGCAAATCCTCTTCCAAGAAAGGGAGTCCTATGGGGTCTCTTTTGGATGCCATCGTCGGCGTGTGAGTCGGAACCAGCCCTCAGGTTCCCGGCTGAAAGTTTAACTTGCCGCGAAACCCAAAATAACCCCGCGAAAAAGTGAATAGCTTGTGCTTAAATATGGACACTCAACCACTAACCCCGCCCCCCCCCCAAAAAAAATAATAATAATAATAAAAAAAAAAACAAACAACAAAAAACGACAACAACACACACTAAACAGAGAAGTGGATATTTTGTGGGATAAATGGATAAGCCAACCAAAAAACACTAAACCGGTACGGAACCGGATGGCGAGCCCCAGAGAGCCGAGGCGTAGGTCCTGGTCGCTCATGTGCGCGGCATCCGTTTGCCTCGGGAACTGATCCGAGCTGTTGCGTTGGAACCAAAGCGAACACCTACCCAAAACCCCATGATAAACTTCCATTTGTGTTTTCGCCCTGGAAAAATGAGAACATATGTCCAGTAGTGAAATCGAATCCCTTTGAAGCCAACAGGGGGAAAGCAAAAACATATCCTTAAGCAAATGGGAGTAAAGAGCTGGCAGGGCGTTCTTTGTTTTGTTTTCGCAGGCTATGGCGGTGGCGCTAATTTAGTGGGTTCCATGTCGACAAGAAGGGTACAGTAGCTGAGACCTTCGGCGGAGTGCCATGGAAAAACAGGACGCCAATGTTCGGCAAGTTGATCTTGAACCTCTTCCACAAGAAAGGGGGAAAGCGGCGCTTCTGGAGGAGTTGCACTGTTGCAGATCAACATGGAATCTCAAACTCGAAATCTCCGTTTGAGCCGCCAAATCCTTATGTGCGAACTGGACATTTCTCTCAATCCTTCGCTTCAAAGACTCGCCTTCCTTCTTGGGACTTGTTTGCCAAGTATTTTCCGGTAGGCATCCCGAATTTTGTGGGACCGGGTGTGGATTGGGGTCGGTAAAAATAATTCAACCGTTCCCTGTGTCACTTTAGAGGGAATGTTCGTGATTGTTTGGCAAACAAAAAGGATGCCATTTGTCATGAGGATGTCACATCTATAACCATCAGTAGTAATTTCTAGCGAAAGGGGCTTTGGGTCAGGTCCAGGGATGAAGCCTAACATATGTTGGCTTCCAGGTGAGTCACAAGTAGGATGCTGAACCTTTTGCGTCGGGCTGTCCCCATCGCTGACTTATGCGTATGGTGTTTGCCCTTGAAAGAAACTCCTGGGGTTGCCAGCGCGCAATTCCCTTGTTGCACGACCCCGGGCCCGGCAAAAAAAACCCGAGCCACAATGCATCTGAGACTTGGCCGAGTGACAGCATGCGGTGCACTCGCTGCCGCAAATATCCTTCTCTGCCCATGTCACCAAAGGGACCTCGCGCAAGCCCACAGAATGGCTGAAAATCAGGACCCACCTCTGGCCTTGGTCATGTGTAAAAAGCTTCCAAACCGGCTAACATGATCCCACCAGGGATGGTCTTCCAGACTCCCCGGTCCTTGGTGCTTCTGAGCACCAACTGATGTCCATCATGGGTTGGCTTGGCCCTTGCTTGAAGTGAGAATGCTTGCTGAAACGCCCAGTTGTGGAGCTCCCGTGGATGTCATTCACCCCGTTGAGTGGCATCCAACTCCTTGACCAGAGGACCCGAGACTCGTTGAAACTTAACCGCCCACCTTATGGAACCAAGGAGATGGGATCAATGTCAACAACCAACACCCGATTTAGTTTTAGCTCCAATATGGATAGAACAAACCAGCCCAACTAGGATCCCTGTAAGAAACTTTCAGGCGACGTCGCCTTGTGAGAACGGTTGTGCCTTGAAACACAGATTCTGCTTAAGGAGGGGTGGGGATTCAAGTCCATTTATCTAGTCCCCTCAAAGCAAAAGATGGATATGTGTCAAGATCGGTATTTGGACCCCCCGCAAAACCGTGCGTGTTCCGGTTGGTTTTCCTTTGAACCCCCCAAAGGGTACCTTCGAGAAACACAGACGCACACAAATTCACCGTAAGGGCTATCCTTGATTTGCCCCTTAAGGCCTTCGAGACTTATCCTTGGCATATCCTGGGCTCCAGGCATCGCTAGCCCGAGGCGAGCAGACCGAGGGTCCAAATGTATTGGTGCCCAGCGCGTGTTTCTGGACGGCTTGCTCCATTGGACTGGGGTCACCAAGAGCTATGTGGAAATAATGTGTACAAAGTATAAGCAATAATTCATTGACATAGTAATCATAATGAAAACAATAACAATAACAATAACAGTACTACTACGGCTGCTACTACTACTACTACTACTAATAATACCAAATATAACACAATGTGTATTACACGTTTAAATACCTCTTGTCTTGATTGGTTCCATCCAAACAGCATTTTCATAATGAACTTGCATAAGAAACAAACAAATGATGAACATTCAGATCATGTGCCCATCCTAGGCAGCCCAAAAGCCCCTCAGGCGCCAGCTCTCACCTTCGGCCCCAAGGTGGCTAAACTGCTCATTGAAGCTGAGCTGGCCCAACTGAAACAACTCCTTGCGATCGGTGCGAGAGATGTGGGGAATGAGAAGTGGAATGACCCTTATACAAAGTTCAACAATGTGAGCTGCACGCAGTAAGTCCTGCCATCACGGTGCCATCTGGGCTGGTCTTGTCCCCTCAACATTGCACAAACTGCGGCGAGAGAGAAGATTCCAGCCGCCCATGCCAACGTACAACCGTGTGTCTTTCCCTTCGGCAACAGGACTCGCCAGCATGAGAACAAACACTATTTGCAAGCGCGTCCAAAAGGACCAACAATGTCCGAGGCATCAACACATCAGAACATTGACATTGGCAAGAAAAACACCACACCCACCTGTCACAAAAGACTGCACTACATGCAGCAGCCCTCACACCGCGCATCGTCACATTCAGTATTACAAAGATGCAGCCACCCGCCATGCCACAGGAATTTGGCACTTGAAAGCCCAAAAAAGCGAGCTGCAAGCCGTAAGCCCTGCTGTGCCATCTGGGCTTGCAGATCCCCTCTACGTTGCACTAGCTGCAACAAGAGGGAGAGAATGCAGCCTTCAAGGGTTAACCACTCAAGGTTGGCGACTTATTGACCGCAATGCCGGCTGCAGCCAACCAACAGCCAGAAGCACTGCATGTAGAATGGCGCACGGAACGACTAAGTGATCCCCGCTCACTGTAACAGGATAATGGCACTTGCAAGCTCAAGTTCAGCAATGTGAGCTGCAGGCAGTAAGTCCTGCCATCACGGTGCCATCTGGGCTGGTCTTGTCCCCTCAACATTGCACAAACTGCAGCGAGAGGGAAAGATTCCAGCCGCCCATGCCAACGTATAACCATGTGTCTTTCCCTTCGGCAACAGGACTCGCCAGCATGAGAACAAACACTATTTGCAAGCGCGTCCAAAAGGACCAACAATGTCCGAGGCATCAACACATCAGAACATTGACATTGGCAAGAACAACAACACACCCACCTGTCACAAAAGACACACCGCGCATCTTCACATTCAGTATTACAAAGATGCAGCCACCCGCCATGCCACAGGAATTAGGCACTTGAAAGCCCACAAAAAGCGAGCTGCAAGCCGTAAGCCCTGCTGTGCCATCTGGGCTTGCAGATCCCCTCTACGTTGCACTATCTGCAACAAGAGGGAGAGAATGCAGCCTTCAAGGGTTAACCACTCAAGGTTGGCGACTTATTGACCGCAATGCCGGCTGCAGCCAACCAACAGCCAGAAGCACTGCATGTAGAATGGCGCACGGAACGACTAAGTGATCCCCGCTCACTGTAACAGGATAATGGCACTTGCAAGCTCAAGTTCAGCAATGTGAGCTGCAGGCAGTAAGTCCTGCCATCACGGTGCCATCTGGGCTGGTCTTGTCCCCTCAACATTGCACAAGCTGCAACGAGAGGGAAAGATTCCAGCCGCCCATTCCAACGTACAACCATGTGTCTTTCCCTTCAGCAACCGGACTTGCCAGCATGACGCAAACAAATAATGGAACAAACACTATTTGCAAGCGCGTCCAAAAGGACCAACAATGTCCGAGGCATCAACACATCAGAACATTGCCATTGGCAAGAACAACAACACACCCACCTGTCACAAAAGACTCTACTACATGCAGCAGCCCTCACACCGCACATCGTCACATTCAGTATTACAAAGATGCAGCCACCCGCCATGCCACAGGAATTTGGCACTTGAAAGCCCAAAAAAGCGAGCTGCAAGCCGTAAGCCCTGCTGTGCCATCTGGGCTTGTCAGATCCCCTCTACGTTGCACTAGCTGCAACAAGAGGGAGAGAATGCAGCCTTCAAGGGCTAACCATTCACGTTGCGACGTATTGACCGCGTTGCCGGCTGCAGCCAACCAGCAGCCAGCAGCAAGCGCTGCATGTAGAATGGCGCACGGACAAACTAAGTGATACCCGGTCACTGTAACAGGATAATGGCACTTGCAAGCTCAAGTTCAGCAATGTGAGCTGCAAGCAGTAAGTCCTGCCATCACGGTGCCATCTGGGCTGGTCTTGTCCCCTCAACATTGCACAAACTGCAGCGAGAGGGAAAGATTCCAGCCGCCCATGCCAATGTATAACCATGTGTCTTCCCCTGCGGCAACAGGACTCGCCAGCATGACGCCAAAACAAATAATGGAACAAACACTACTTGGAAGACCGTCCAAAAGGAACAACAATGTCCTAGGCATCAACACATAGAACAAAATCACGCCAGCCTGTCACAAGAGACTGTACTTTTTCCTGCACGTACAGCATCCCTGACACCGCGTATCGTCACGTTCAGAATTACAAAGATGCAGCCACCCGCCATGCCACAGGAATTTGGCACTTGAAAGCCCAAAAAAGCGAGCTGCAAGCCGTAAGCCCTGCTGTGCCATCTGGGCTTGTCAGATCCCCTCTACGTTGCACTAGCCGCAACAAGAGGGAGAGAATGCAGCCTTCAAGGGCTAACCACTCAAGGTTGGCGACTTATTGACCGCAATGCCGGCTGCAGCCAACCAACAGCCAGAAGCACTGCATGTAGAATGGCGCACGGAACGACTAAGTGATCCCCGCTCACTGTAACAGGATAATGGCACTTGCAAGCTCAAGTTCAGCAATGTGAGCTGCAAGCAGTAAGTCCTGCCATCACGGTGCCATCTGGGCTGGTCTTGTCCCCTCAACATTGCACAAACTGCAGCGAGAGGGAAAGATTCCAGCCGCCCATGCCAACGTATAACCATGTGTCTTTCCCTTCGGCAACAGGACTCGCCAGCATGAGAACAAACACTATTTGCAAGCGCGTCCAAAAGGACCAACAATGTCCGAGGCATCAACACATCAGAACATTGACATTGGCAAGAACAACAACACACCCACCTGTCACAAAAGACTGTACTACATGCAGCAGCCCTCACACCGCACATCGTCACATTCAGTATTACAAAGATGCAGCCACCCGCCATGCCACAGGAATTTGGCACTTGAAAGCCCACAAAAAGCGAGCTGCAAGCCGTAAGCCCTGCTGTGCCATCTGGGCTTGCAGATCCCCTCTACGTTGCACTATCTGCAACAAGAGGGAGATAATGCAGCCTTCAAGGGTTAACCACTCAAGGTTGGCGATTTATTGACCGCAATGCCGGCTGCAGCCAACCAACAGCCAGAAGCACTGCATGTAGAATGGCGCACGGAACGACTAAGTGATCCCCGCTCACTGTAACAGGATAATGGCACTTGCAAGCTCAAGTTCAGCAATGTGAGCTGCAGGCAGTAAGTCCTGCCATCACGGTGCCATCTGGGCTGGTCTTGTCCCCTCAACATTGCACAAGCTGCAACGAGAGGGAAAGATTCCAGCCGCCCATTCCAACGTACAACCATGTGTCTTTCCCTTCGGCAACCGGACTTGCCAGCATGACGCAAACAAATAATGGAACAAACACTATTTCCAAGATTTTGCAAGCCCGTCCACAAGGACCAACAGACCAACAACTCCCGAGGCACCAAAACACCAGAACATTGGCGAGAACAACAACACGCCCGCCTGTCACAAGAGACTGTACTCCTTCCTGCGCATACAGCATCCCTCACACCGCGCATCGTCACGTTCAGAAATACAAAGATGCAGCCACCCGCCATGCCACAGGAATTTGGCACTTGAAAGCCCAAAAAAGCGAGCTGCAAGCCGTAAGCCCTGCTGTGCCATCTGGGCTTGTCAGATCCCCTCTACGTTGCACTATGTTGCACTAGCTGCAACAAGAGGGAGAGAATGCAGCCTTCAAGGGCTAACCATTCACGTTGCGACGTATTGACCGCGTTGCCGGCTGCAGCCAACCAGCAGCCAGCAGCAAGCGCTGCATGTAGAATGGCGCACGGACAAACTAAGTGATACCCGGTCACTGTAACAGGATAATGGCACTTGCAAGCTCAAGTTCAGCAATGTGAGCTGCAAGCAGTAAGTCCTGCCATCACGGTGCCATCTGGGCTGGTCTTGTCCCCTCAACATTGCACAAACTGCAGCGAGAGGGAAAGATTCCAGCCGCCCATGCCAACATATAACCATGTGTCTTTCCCTTCGGCAACCGGACTCGCCAGCATGACGACAAACCAAATAATGGAACAAACACTACTTGCAAGAGTGTCCAAAAGGAACAATGTCCTAGGCATCAACACATAGAACAAAATCACGCCAGCCTGTCACAAGAGACTGTACTCCTTCCTGCACGTACAGCATCCCTGACACCGCGTATCGTCACGTTCAGAATTGAAAAGATGCAGCCACCCGCCATGCCACAGGAATTTGGAACTTGAAAGCCCAAAAAGCGAGCTGCAAGCCGTAAGCCCTGCTGTGCCATCTGGGCTTGTCAGATCCCCTCTACGTTGCACTAGCTGCAACAAGAGGGAGAGAATGCAGCCTTCCTTCAAGGGCTAACCATTCACGTTGCGACGTATTGATCGCGTTGCCGGCTGCAGTCAACCAACAGCCAGCAGCAAGCGCTGCATGTAAAATGGCTTACGGAACAACTCAGTGATCACCGGTTACTGTGACAGGATAATGGCACTTGCAAGCTCAAGTTCAGCAATGTGAGCTGCAAGCAGTAAGTCCTGCCATCACGGTGCCATCTGGGCTGGTCTTGTCCCCTCAACATTGCACAAGCTGCAACGAGAGGGAAAGATTCCAGCCGCCCATGCCAACATATAACCATGTGTCTTTCCTTCGGCAACCGGACTTGCCAGCATGACGCAAACAAACAATGGAACAAGCACTATTTGCAAGCCCGTCCACAAGGACCAACAGACCAACAGTGTCCGAGGAATCAAAATATCAGAACATCCACAAGAACAGTAACAAAACCACCTGTCACAAGACACCGCACTCCTTCCTGACCACACAGCATCCCTCACTCCGCGCATCGTACGTTCAGAACTGCAAAGATGCAGCCACCCGCCCTGCCACAGGAATTTGGCACTTGAAAGCCCAAAAAAGCGAGCTGCAAGCCGTAAGCCCTGCTGTGCCATC